TCCATTGTTCATTCATGTACTCATATATTTGTTCAGCAAATCTATCAGATACACCCTCAACTAGAGAGATAAGCTGAGGACACAGTAACAGGAGAGACATATTGTCTGTGCTAGTGAGGGGTTGAATCAACTGGTTTTTATTTTGTTTTTGTTTTTTTCAGTTCTGGGAATTGAACCCAGGACTTCACCCATGCTTGGCAAGCACTCTACCACCAAGCTATACCCCCTAACTGTTTTTGGTGATGCAGGTTTGTTTGATATGACTGTCAAAAGTCAAATATTAATGTAAACAAATCCAGCAAGATATTTTCCCTTTCTAGTATTAATTTCTCCTCTTCATACCACCTCATCAGGAGCTAATATCTAAGCTGATAAGAATCCCTAATGTTTTTGTCCATTGATGCTGCAGCAGACTTTTCTGTTTATATTATACTTCAAAACTGCAGTACCAGGATGGCTTGTTAAGTGTATTTACTAAAGCTAGATCAATATGTAGGGAAAAGTTTTCATGAAAGGCATAAAAATCATAGGCTCCAGGTATGTTCTAATGAATTTGTCCAGGGAATTCCTTCCAAATCACATCCCTGGCAATGCAGTTTTCTTCAAGTACATAAAATTGCCTTTTCATTTGAAGAATTTTCAGTTGTTAAGGACCAAAATATTTGTTGTTGTTGTTGTTGTTTGTTTATAATAACAGGAAATACCTCTCCTTGAAGAATATTTTAGGTCTGACACTTAAAAAAAAAAAAAAAAAAAAAAATTCTCTCCTTACTGCCATCTTGTGGACAGAGATGATATCTTCAGAGAGCACATAGGAACATGTCTTAGTATTGCCACAAGATGGCAGCACATAACCAAGAAGTGCCAAAAATTTAACTTATAACTTATTTGTATTTCTAAAATATTTCAAGGAGAAATTGAATTCTCCCTGAATTTTTTCTGATAATAATTTCTCTATAGAGTGAAGTAGTTGAGAATGTTTTTAAATCTTTATTTTATGTAGGTCTTTGTATTCAATTGTGAAATATCTGCCTCTAACATATCATCTAGAGGTTACAACCCATTCCAGTGACTGGGTCATCGGGGCACATTGCCACTTCTATTCTGAACAAAGTTCTGCCTGAGCTATCTGCTTTTTATCACTTTTGTGTGTGTGTCCCTAGTGTTTTGTGTATCCTAGTGCCACAACAGATTTATTTTTATGTGCACGCTCTTGATGTTTTAGAATTGCACTATCATGGCTTAATTTATTGGGATATCTTTTTCTCTTGCCACAGAAATTGCACTAATAATCCTCTGTAGAAGATATTTTACCATAGAACTGGCAATAATACCTCTATGTAAGCACTTACTAGGTGTCTGGCACCATTCCAAGAAGAGCATATAGATTAATTTATCTAATCCACGGCACAGATTTCTAAGGGTTAGCTTTACTAAACTCATTTTACAGAAGATGAAACTGAGGAAAAAAAGAGGGTAAGAGATGCTTTCTAGCTTAAGCAGAATCATTGGCCTCCCTGCCTGACCCAGTTCCTGCATAATCCCTTGACATTTGTTCTGTTTAGATATGAGGTGTCTCCCAAAAGCTCATGTGTGAGACAGAGCAAGAATTTTCAGATGTAAAATTATTAGCTCAGGGGAATTCTGACTTATCAGTGGATCAATTCACTGATATTCATGAACTGGTTGGTTAAGAGTAGGCAGGTAGGGTATGGCTGGAGGAAGTAAGTCCCTAGGGGTGTGACTTGGGGGTTTTTAGTTTGTCCCTGGTGAGCAGAGTTCTCTCTGCTTTCTAATTACCATGGCCTGAGCTGCTTTCCTCTGTCAGACCCTTCCACCATAAAGTTCTGCCTCACCTGGGCCTAAGAGCTATGGATTTGACCCACCATGGACTGAACCTCTGAAATTGTGAGCCTAAATAAACTTTCCCTCCTCTGAATTGTTCTGGTTAGCTCTTAAAAGCTGACTAAAGCAATATTGTTTCCACGGAAGCCTGTGGAGCTAATAGAGAGCATGGGGAACTTGGTGGTCTTTATCTGAAAAAGGTTCCATTGAGGATTTAGACCCCTTTGAGTAAAGATTATCAATCTGTTGCCTGAATGGTCCCTATAAATTCTCAAGGATACTAAGACAAGAGTTTTGGCCCAAGAAAGGAGAGCTGCACTTTGCACAAGAGCAGACCCTTTTTGTCCAGTATTGCATCATTCAAATGTCCCAGCAATACTGCTAGAGTTATAGAGGACTTGCTTTTTTTTTTTTTTTTTTTTGGTACCTGGGAATGAACTCAGGGACATGCAATCACTGAACCACATCCATGGCCCTGTTTTGTATTTTATTTAGAGACAGAGTCTCACTGAGTTGCTTAGCGCCTGGCTTTTTGCTGAGGCTGGCTTTGAACTCAGGATCCTCCTGCCTCAGCCTCCGGAGATGCTGGGATTACAGGCTTGTAACACCACTCCCAGCTGAGGCCTCGCTTTTATACAAAAAAATGCCAGAGGGTATGAGAGAAAAATGTACTAGGTTCTAGTTAGAGAACTGGGAATAGTGAATTTCAGTCCCAGTTCTGCCTTTTGCTATCTGTGTGATCTGGGCCTCAATTTCTTCATACTAACATGAGCACATTCTCAGCTGTGCCTTTCCAACAATTTTGAAGGAAATATGTTAATTTCAAAGTAAAGGTGTCAAAAAGGTATGAAGAAAGAAAATTAGTGGGAGTATGTTTGAAATACAGTTGAAACGTTTGTGGTTGGATGATGAGACCTACAGAGAAGGCTGTCAATATCAGACATCAGTATTCTATATATTGAGAGATCCTGGCTTCCCATTTCAGGGTACTTATGGCAACCATTGCTGGCTTCTGCCAGGGAAGGACAATTCTTTACTCAGTCCTGTATGAACTTGCCTTGTGTTGCATCTGTCAACTGGAATATCTTCAAGTAGCATAGTTCAAGGACAGAAAAGCAGGTGCTAACATATTTGAACATCCTCAAAGCTCCACCAGTAATCACAATACAGAAAAACATCCTCTTCCACATCTGGTCAGTTTAGGGAAACTGTCCTTACCTGCAGACACCACCAGCTCTTAGGAACTGTGAGTCTGACTGGCACTAGTTTTGCTAATGCTACACTGTAGCCAAACACTTTCAGACTTGAGACACTAGGACAATCTTTCTGTTCTTTATAGTTATCATAAGAATGCCAGAAAATATTATACTTCTGTGACCTACTTTTGATGGACAGATGAAAAATGTATGAGGAAGCGGATTCATAGGTTGCACTGAACCTTGGAGTCTTTACAGACCTGGTCTCTCAGTGCTAAATCAGTATAAATAATTTAGCTCCTCAGATTCCCATGTTTTTAGGTTAGAAGGATGTTTGGCATATATTTGTTCTTCTCATGCTTCAGGGATTCTAGATCTTCTGTTTTTGGACCACTGTGCATTCAGAGTGTCCATCATGCACTGGCTTGATTACAACAGCCCACAATAGCAGACACAGCCCCTGCCTCCAGGGACTCAATGTCCAGTGGGGAAGACAGACATTAATCAAAGCATTAGACAAGCACATTTGAAGTTAAGTGAAGTGCATACTATGATAGGAAGCAGAACTTATAATAAAGTTTTATCAGGGAGGTCAGGGAAGATTTCCCTGTGGAAGTGAGAACCCAGTTCTGAAGGAGGCGTGAGATTACTAGTGGAGATATCACTGGGCCATAAGCCCGATGGCAGAGAAAATATCGTGCCAGAGAGAACACAGGAGAGAGTTGGAAAAATGATAGATGTGGATGAGGCTGGAAGACAGGGGTGCTAGGGAGAGCCATAGGAGCCATGATAAGGATTTTGATCTTTACCCTTGAAGCCACAAGAAAGCTTGAACAAATTTCAAGCAGCACTGTAGGGTGACCAGATGTCCAATTAAAACATCTTTCTCTGGCTGAAGAGCCCATCACTTTTCATCTTTAGTGAAATCATGTTACTCGGTTGTACAGGGCTATCTCCTGAGGTTCACAGAGAACAATGTCTGGGCCCTACAGCCAGTTTGGGCTACTATAGTTAACTAATCATTGAGTCGGTCCTCAGATTCAAAGGGATAAGGAAATGTTACATATTTATTTCTAATGATGCAAGATTATTTGGGGTTATTTGATAAAGATACTTAAAAGGGAATCCAAATATTTTATCCATATGATCTGATTTAACCCTGACATTTATTGACACATGCTACAAATATTTATTGAAACCTACTGCACACCAGGGTCTAGTCTAAGCATTATGGATTCAGTGGCTAACAAGACATACACTGTGCTGCCCTCGGGGAGCATGTATCCTAACAGAGGAGACATACCATAAACCAGCAGAGAAGGAAATGTGGAATGTGATGCCAGGTAGAGATCACTGTCCTTAGATGAGTCAAGCACCTTGAAGAAATAGAGAAATAACAGAGGATACAAGTTTTGAAAAAGTGATGGGAAAATCCCTCCCTAGTTGATGAGATTTCAGCAGAAATCTAAATGAAGTGACTGTGAGACCTGAGGAAAAAGCATTTCAGGCAGAAAAAACAATGAGTGCAAAGGGTTCAAGGTTGGAATAGACTTTCCTGTTAAAAGAGCAAGAGGCCAATCGACTTGAGTGGCATGAACCGAGAGCAAAATGGTAGGATGAGGCTGGGGACCAGACAGTCTATGGTTGCATTAAATTGCAGTCAAGGGTACTTTTACATTCCATACTCCAGGGTCCTCACATTTGTCTACCTGCACAACATGTAGCATCAAGAATACATATTGGCAAACCACTTTTGCTACGTCCAACTGCACAACATTTGTTTTAACATAGCAGTCTCTATTTGCCTTTTATTCAATTTCTACCAATCTCTGTTTCCACTAAAGTGTTCCTTCTGTCTTCTCTCATTCTCCTTTCAGTGGAGAGTACGAGACTACCATTACGTTCATTTCAATTGATAAAACTTTTTGGTTTTGTTTTGCTAAAATGTTTCTTTTTTAGAAATTGGCACCACCGTGCACTTCAAGCAAAAAGGTATGGTTTTTATTTCAAATTACCTTCTAAATGTTAAAATTAAGATTTCACAGGAATATATTGTGGTCTTATATACTTGAGTTTATTTCACTTCAGTAATTTGCAATAATAATTTCCATAGCACATTTAGCACTATTTGTTTTTCCAAGTAGTAAGTTTTCTTCTTTACAAAAATTCCCTGGTCCAACCCATAACCCCTGTATTGCTTTTGATACTCATTCACTTTTAAATACCTGAAACCCAGCTAGTTATTCTATACCCTGCTCTCCCCTTGTCCCTTACTGTCCATGGTTAGCTCTTGCAGAGCTGATTTTTTTTAATAGTAGCTGCTTAATGACAAGTGCTCTTAGAAGACACCCAAAGTCTATTTTACAGTCACCTGTCTGTCAGATATTCAAGTAAATATGTTGCTAAATATAACATCTAGATATCAAGTAGATATCCAGATATCTCTTAAAATGAAACACGTGAGCGGTGAATATTTCCTCCTCTCTCATCATTTTCCCAGGTCTTTATAAAGCCTCATGATGCTGCAGTACACCTGGGCTAGTGGGTCCTCCCAGGAAAGCCTTGTGATGCCCTCCTACTGTCCCATGGCCACCAGCCATGTGACATATCATGCACATACTCATCTCTACAAGGACAGGGCAAGCAGATCAAAGCTGCATAAATTGATCCAAAATGCAAACAATTACTATGTCTTCAGTGCCCCCTGCACAATGGATAATCCCCAAAAGTTTGTAACCCCAGACCAGAGCCACAGAGGCACATATGTGGCCGGGCACCACACTCCTCGAGTCCTGTGGTCACACACTTGATTGGTAATTGTCTCATAGGAAGGTGTCCTCCTCTCTGAATCTCAAAAAGGAATGAGACAACCAAGATCACTTACAATAGTGAGAAATCATTTTTGTGGGCTCCAGGCCTTCCCAGCCTCCAGAAGCCACAGAGATTATAAGGACTGTGGTGCTTACTCCCACAAAAGGTCCAGCACCTTGTTTATGGCCAGTTCTAGCCTGTTCTCACAGAAGGCAGCAGGAAAGAGGCAGCCAGGAATATATACTTGGGAAGAGCATTATCTGAGGCAAAAAGACAAAAAATTGTCTTCTTCTGCTCTTCTCTCCCCAGTGCTATGATTACCAAATTACCATTTACATTTGAATCTAACTTGCCTAGTGCTGTTATGTGATACCTTAGGGCTTTGATGTGGATGATGACATAGGCATAGTATTTTTCTCTTAATTTCAAAGATCATCAAGATAAACTGCCAGCCAGGGGTGGTGGCACATGCCTGTAATCCCAGCAGCTTTGGAGGCTGAGGCAGGAGGATTGGGAGTTCAAGGTCATCCTCAGCAAAAGTGAGGGGCTAAGCAACTCAGTGAGACCCTGTATCTAGATAAAATACAAAATAGGGCTGGGGATGTGGCTCAGTGGTTGAATGCCTCTGAGTTCAATCCCTAGTATGACAAAAAAAAAAAAGATAAACTTCCAATGTCACCAAAAGTAGGACCTGAAAGTTTTTAAACTGGGTGTGCCATATATATGATGCCATTTTGATGGGAAAGATGTTATGATTCCAGATTTACTATGAGACTAGTTCAGTCCACCAAAATCTCACTTTATAGAGGGTGGAGAAAGTGCATGAATGGCCCATATTTAATCCTAAAACCCAGGGCTCAAAGAGAAAATCAGTATTTTCCTTCCTCTAATTTGCTCCACCCTGGTGATTATAGACTTTAATCCAAAATTCAATCACCCAGGTGAAGTGGTACTGGCAGAAAATGGACAGCAGGTGGCGCCAAAGTCCGTCTTCTCATTCTTCCCTATCGACATGGCTTCCCAGGACCCCAGCGTGCCTTAATTTGCACACCTAGATAATATCAAAGATCCATACTTGGGAGATTCTGTAGATTATTGCTCTCCTTCGTTTAACAATTGTTTTATAAGTTGTTTATACTTTTATTTTATTTTCAGTCACTTCATCAGCCCTTAACAGTTCTAAAAAGAATTCAAACTTAAATTCCTCAAACATTTTTTCTTCTTGTATGGCTTCTTTAAAAAAAAAATATATATATATATATATATACATATATATACATATATATATATATATATATATACACACACACACACACACACACGTGTGTGTGCGTGTGTGCGTATGTGTGTGTAGGAATAAAATATGCCTAATTCTGACTCCTTCATGGCTGAAAAGAATTCCCAAGGATCATTGATGGCATGTTGAAGACCACTTTGAATAAATCTAGTCCTAAATCCAGGAAATGGGCCCTAAGGACTCAGAAGAAGCAACAAAAAACTGTTGGTCCAATTTGAATTACAAAGTATCTGCAAGCACACACACTACAAAACAGGTGGTGAAAAACCACCTGTCCTTTCTTTGAGATTTTGCTGAAAGACAAATGAATTGACTGAGTATCCTACATCAGATTTGTAGTGTAGAGACTGGTCAAAAAAAAAAATTCTCATAACCCTCAATTTCTGGATGTTTTATCAATCTTGCCCTGAATTACAAATTTTGCCCTTTTTTAAGCATTGATGTGGCAAAGCACAATCCAGTATTCATCTTGGCACAGTCTCACTTACCTTACCAGGTTGAGAATCTTGACCTGGTGTGTTGACTCATGGCTTACAGTGTTGCTGCAGCTGCATTGTGGCCCTGATGATCAAACATTAAAGCCTTGACCCCATTCACAAAACAATACCTTTAATTCAGGTTGGTATTTTATTCATTTTTGTAGCTTGAACATCTGTGTCAATAATAATAATAATGCTACCATGTAATGAATATTTATCAGAAACCACACATTTCGTGTACATGCAAACATATAACACATATGTACAATGTGGTTAACTATCAAGACATGATATTTGTCTGTTATGTGAAAAACATGTAGCAAGTTTTTATATTGTGGTTCTATTTGCCCATCTATTCTTAAGGCTAATTTATGTTTGCAGACTCTTGCTTTCATTATATCTGTCAGTATATGAAAGCACTTGCTGAGCTTGGCCATCTGGCATGGGAAATAAGATTTATCATTTGCATTTCCACAAATAAGCAGAAATTTTGTAACTATGAACTAAAACATAATTAATGATTTTGCTGATTATTCTTCCCTGAAATAGCCATTAACTGAAGTAGTCTCCTATGCAGTCATATATATCCATAATTGCATACGCACTTGTGATGATTCCCCAACTATCACGCGCTTACCCTGGTATTTCTCAAGTCTGTTTACTCTCAAAATCAATTATCACAAGAGCAAGTCACATAAGCCATCAAATAGCTATATGAAGGCACTTAATGAATAATAATTGATAGAAATGAAGATACTTTAAACAAATTCACACGGTGCATTTCAAATATATAATGACATTATGAAGGATAAAATGAAAGATTATTAACATAATCACATTGGAATTTCCTATTATAATACAGAATAAAATATGAAGGTAACAAGTAATTATGTATTATATGTACTAAAAGACCAATAATATAAGTGTATATATAACTATAATGTAGATATTTCTCTGTGTGTATATATATAGATGTACATATATGTATATATACATTCATTAGTAAGAATGTTACGTTTGAGCATGCTTATTCAGATTGATAACTTGCTGAGAGTCTTGCTAAATTTGCTGAGGCTGGCCTCAAACTTTCGATGCTCCTACCTCGGTCTCCCACTCTGTAATTTTTGCTTTCTTAAATATTTACTCCCATTTGAATAAAATGATAAGACTAGTCTTGTTAGCTTTCCCCAGATACCATTCAGTTCCCAGATGTCAGGAAAACAATTGAGCCTGACTTAATGCTACAAATTAGATTATGGAAATAAGCAAAATTGGACTTTTTCTGAAAACCCTTTTCACACTATCCCTGAGGCAAAACAGAAATTGCTTTTGCTTTACTCTGTAGGACCTTAATGTGTGTGTAGTTTTTTTTTTGTTTGTTTGTGTTTTTTTTTTTTTTCTGTTTTGAAAGCCTCACGGATGCAATACTGCAAACAAATGTGCCAATAATCTCATCTCGCCCTGTGTATGCAGAGGGTTTAAAACATTGCTGCCAGGCCAGGAGACTGGGGAGTTTTCTTGAAGAGAGTTTGAAGGTTCTCAAAGTCCATCAGGTGTAGGGGGGAAGACATGGAGAAGGTGGATAGGGAAGGACAATGAGCTGAGCCTCAGGACACCTGGACTCCAGCACTAGTCCACAAATGCTAATCAGGTGCCTTATGCAGCATATATAATCTTGAACCTGAAATAGACCTTTTGATAATATGATCCCACAGCTAATCAGAAAATCAGACAATTAGTTGGTTGATTAATTTGTTTATATTGTGCCTTCATAGCTTTATATGTGATAAGCTCATTTTACATAGTACTTATGCTGTTCCAAATTTGTACATGTTCATATTTTTAAATTAAATAATATTGTCAATATTTTCAAGAAGGCATTTTAACCAAAAATATTCTTTCAAAATCATTTTTTGCAAAAATAATGGATGTTCCCCCTTTAGTTTCTGTTTGTGCTGGCTGTCATTTTAATCAAGCCCAAGTTTCATTTCTCAAATGTTTGACAGAGACTCACCAGAGTACATGGCCATTGAGCCACACAGTGTCCTGGTGTCAGGCAATACCTCGGAACCAGATGCAGGTTAGAAACCTCAGCTTCTCTGCTGACAAGTGGTATCAACTTTTACCATGGACTTAATCTCTCTCTGCCTCCATTATTTCACTGGAAAGTGTGTTTTATTCTAATGCCCATCCCATAGCACAGCTGTGTGCTTTTATTTATTAAGAATTTATAACAATACCTTGTAGTGAGTGCTGCATAATCATTTGCTGGGTTTGTTTTATTGCTATTGCTTTTATTATTTGCATAAAACATAGATTAGGAGGCCATTCTTGAATTCAGCATTTTCCTGTTAGCCTACCTTCAATCTGGTATGTTTGTAAACAGTTTGGGGAAATTCACATACCAGAAGATGCTTCCATTGCACTTGCAAATCACAGATTTACACACATTACCACACACATTGATCTGCATATGTATTCTAAAAACTTCAAATTACAGTCCTACCAGTTTCTTTTTTGAATATCATTGTGGAGCTATGTGGCTTTTAAAGCCAGTCTCTGCAGTGAAAGTGTTTTTATTTCCTTTATTGGAATATGAACAGAACAACACAAAAGGAGAAGATGGACACACAAAGCTTAGGAGACACACTCCTGAGTTGAACCCACAAATTCTGCCCCAATCCTATTCTTGCCACCATAACACAAACCCCTTCTCCTCCTTCCTTTCCTCCCGCTTTCCCTCTCAGACCCACAGTCACATCCCCAGTTACACTCGGGTGGCAGCAGGGAATACAGCTGCCATGCCAGGCTCAATCCTGGGTGAGTTCAAATCAGTTCTGCTCCAGGTTTGAACCTGCTTCTAAACCCCCCAGGTTTGGGTGGGTTGTTTGTAGGTTTTGATTTTTAAAAGATCAGTGAAGAATCTGGGCAAGATGATCCCTGCTTCCTCGTAAGACTATACAGTGTTTCTGCCTTGATAAGATGCCACCCATCCATAAAGTTTCTTGGTTACAATGCCCCTCCCAACTGACAAATAATTAGTGCTTCTCCCCCAAGGAACAAGGGAGTCAGGGGGCAGCTCCAGGTTTTATTGATGCTGTGAAAAATTGACAGGAACAGCCCACACGAGCTGGTGAAGTACCTTCGCCAATGCATCACCTGGGGCAGAGCATGCAGGAGGAGGCTGGGTGAACAAGAGCCTGTAGCACCGCCAGACAGCAGTGACAGCCAGCTTAAGGACTGCTTCAGCAAGAGCACTTTGTATGTAGAGGCAATTCAACAAATGATACCTCTTAACTTACTTGGACCTCAAGGAGGACAAGGATATAGGAAAGGTTTTCAGCCCTTCCTGGGCTGCATGTAAGAGCACTGACGTTGTGGCCTCAGTCCTGGCTAGGCCTCACCTCCGACAACATCAGCAGTCAGCTGTGACCTGGATTGGTCAGGATGTAACTTCTCTTTTCTCTCTCTCCTTTTATTGTTCTGCAGGACCTGGGTCGGTGAGAGGAATAAATGGATCCATCAGTCTGGCCGTACCACTGTGGCTGCTGGCAGCATCTCTGCTCTGCCTTCTCAGCAAATGTTAATAGAATAAAAATTTAAAAATAATTTAAAAAACACACAAAAATGCGTCACACAGGATATAGAGAGAGAGTGGGAGAGAGAGAGAGAGAGAGAGCGCGCGATGGGGGGAGACTGTTTATTTCACAACTTTGTGTGTTTATAAATGAAGGGGGGAAATATGAAAATGAAGACGAAAATACAACATTGGAAACAATTTTAAAGTCCATCAATAAAAATTTGGTATGATCAGGGTGGGAAAAGCTCTATCAGGATGTGTGTATATCTACTAAGGAAATGAATGCCGTGCTAAGGACATCCAGATGTTGTAAAAACAGGACAAGTAAAGAAGTACCAGATGGAGACTGACTCCCCCACGCACACTTATCCTTCCTTCCTTCATCTTTCGTCATCTGTGGGGAAAAAAATAAGGTCTTGCCTTTGGTGTTATACTTCCATAACTTTCTATTGTGTTTTCCATTCAAGCTGACCTGTAGCCATTTCAGACTCTCCATAGAGTCTTATGTTCAGCCTTTTATCGGACTCTCTTGCCTCTGCTATCTCTCCAACTTTTGAGATCATCCCCTCTCCCTCCAGAGTGTTCTATCTCCCACGCTCATTCCAAATAGTCCCTTTTTGCCCACCCACCCCAACTCTCTTCACCCCCTCCAACCGCCCCCTGAGCACCAATCACGCCGCAAATGCTAGGAAGTGCCATTTTAATTTTCTCCACTGTGTGCGTGTGCTCAAGTCTCTCCCTCTCACGTGGGTGTACATGTGTGTGAGCGTGTGTGTGTCTCTCTCTAAAGCATGCCAAGGGAATGGTCCATGTGTACATAGACTCATCGTGCTGTAGATACTGTCCTGCATTGTAATTGTGAGATGCGGCTGTAACCAGTTGCTGGGGGAGATGGCAGGGAGGGAGGCAAGGAGCAGAGGCCTCCCCTGTCCACGCCTGTCACATGACATCAGTGTGTATTCAAACCAAGTTGTGCCCCTTCCAAGGGCAGGACCCCATATTCCTCCCAATCCCATCATCAGAATCTAGTCAGGAGTCACTCAGAATATCACTGTAAATGAAAGTGCCTACCATTGATGGGGTGAGCAAACAGTGGGGAAAAAAAATTAGTGATGGGGATGAAATGGCCTAGGAGAGAAGGTTTCTGATTTCACTCTTATTTCATGAGTTTGAGGGATTCATATGTTTTCCGGTGTTTAACAGGCTGAGCCCTGCTCTGCTGCAGGGCTGATCAACATATATTGAACAAATCCCCAGAAACAGAAAGTGTTATCTCCCATCTGGAGAATGATGAGCCACATGGAGATCCTAAGCAATCCTGTTTTGCCTCCTCCCTAACCTTCAAATAACATGAATTTGCCCCATGGATCCCCCTGAGCAGAGATTGTTTCCTCTTTCAGATCAATACAGTGAGAGTGAGCAAGACAGGCAAAGTAGACAGATGCCCAAATCCCATCCCATGTTCTGAAGATACTGTCAGAGCATTAAGAAAAAACATTGGCTATACCAAAAGGGAATTCATTCCTTAAGATCCTTTGCAGATTTTTGTTCTGATGTTCTTGGCTAACTCTTGATTTAGCCATGCATGTCATCCCCCTGCTGCTGTTCCACTGATATCTGTAGGACCACACTTTTTTTTTTTTTTTTGGTACCAAGGATTGAACCCAGAGGCACTTAACCCTGAGCCACATCCCCAGCCCTTTTATTATATTTTATTTAGAGACAGGGTCTCACTGAGTTGCTGAGGCTGGCTTTGAACCCCCAATCCTCCTGCATCAGCGTCCCAAGCCGCTGGGATTACAGGTGTGTGCCACTGTGCCTGGCTGTAGCACCACTCTTCTTGATGATTCATCATTATCCTAGACCAGACCACTAGAAATTGCATTATATTCACCTTTCCTGCTCTATTTAAATTTATGTCTCTGAGAATCATCTGGATATTCACACTGAAATAAGAGCTCATTTCTTCACCAGAAGATCTGAGCAACTTGTAATTAATTTAGGCAGAAAGTGTCTGAATACCACAAAGCTTGGCATTACCGCATCACCATAGGTCTTACAGGGAGAGCTGGCACTCTGCATATAGACTTCTTTGTCTACATGAAACCAACTGCTGTTCTGTTAGACTATAGGATGCACTGGAAATGGTCAGCTCATGACGGGGAAGAGGATTATTGTTGAGGTCATTATTGAAAGCAATCCCACAGAACAAATGTGGCAGCTCATCAAGTTTTCAAATCTTGATAATAGCTGAGACATGATATTAAATGAAAAACTTCATTAGCAGAAAGAGGAAGGAAGGAAAGAAAGAGAGAAGTAGGGAGAGAGAAGGAAGGAAGAAAAGAAGGGAGGGAGGGACAGATCTGAGAATATTTAAAAATCTCTTCTAGGTGGTTCTATGGTTTGTTTTGGATGCATATCACATTCTTCTTTTAGGATTTTGCTGTTTAGAATTGAAAACAGAGGACAAATTGGACATGGCAGTAAGAGTACTTATGGCAGATCGTGAGATAGGACAGAAATTCTTATCCAAGAAGGCAGCTAGTCAAATACAGGGAAAGCGAGCCATACTCCTATGCAGCATCAATTTATTGACAATCAGGGATTTCTCTAACAGTTTGGTCTTCTTTGTACAGGAACAAAGGTTATTACCTTTGATGGTTGAAGAAGCTGTCATACCCTTAAGTAGAAACCAAGAGAGCACATGGTGATTGAAAGATACAGGAAGAGAAAAAGAGCAGGAATTGATTTCAGTACCATTCATTATCAGTTTCAGGAACAGAGCCTGTGGCATATTACAAGCTTTAATGCCCAGCAGGCCTTTTTACTGTTTCTACCTTATCATAAGGACCAGGTTAGTGGAAGGAGCATGTCCATTGGAAGAAATGTCTTGGCCATTGCTCTCTTGGTTTTTAACATGGTGGACCATAAATTAAACATACATTTTCAAAATATGGTATTTGCCTATATCTAGCAGGATCTGGGATTTGCAAAACTTTGCTACTTGCTCCTCTTTCATCATTGGCCCTAGAAATCTCATAAGTTTAACAATGTCTCTAAGTAACTTGGGGAATGGAGGGAAAGATAGATTGGAGAAAGTCTCAACACAAGATTTCTTGGAATTGAGTTCATCATATTGCCATAACTTCCTCCCTCAACCCCCAGCATCTTGTCCTTTGATAATCAAAGCACTGAAAAACACCAATTATTTGGAAATACCATATTGAGAGAAGTGGAAAGCATCTAATAATGTTAATGGCTAATACATTTTGCATGCTTTTCATACAAAGTGAAACTCTACCATTCACAAAATAAGATCCTTAGCCCCAACTTTCAGTGATGTGGAAATTACCTTGACCCAGGGACTTCTTGAAGGATGAGAACTAGCCTAGGTTTCACAACTGCAGAATTGTAATTAGACTCTCTGTTCAATTCTTCATCAAGAGGCCTTGCTTTATTGGAGGACTTTTTTGGTTTTGTTTGTTTAAGATATAAAATCCCTCTGTCCTAAAAGAACTAAGGCATATGGAAAAGTGGATGTGTTTTCTGTTGGGAAGGATTGTTCTATCGGCCTTTTCCAGAAGAATTCTTGAACTTGAACTCTCCCTTGCTATGGGCTTTTTAAAAATAATAATAATAATAATAATAATAATAACAATTATTATTATTATTATTATGTGATCAGACAACTGGGGCTATTTATAGAGACCTTGTAAAAGTACTCGTGATTTTCATGTTCTTGGAGGGCAGAAATAAAAATCTGTTTCCCCTCCAAAAATGGACTTACCTCCTTTGCACATAAAGACAAAACTCCTCAGCATAAAATGATTTGAGTTGTTACCCACCAAGTTGTTAACCTTCTTATCTAGAGTTGCAGGCACAATCCTGAACTGATTAGGGCTCCACCATTTCTCTGGGTTCGTCTCCCTGAATTCCTCATTTTGTTCTTTGCAGGCTTTGAATTATTTGTGGAAAAATAATATATGTGTGTATGTATTTTTTTAATCTTATCTTTACAGATGCTATATTTACAATAATGTATGTATTATAAGAAAAATTTAGAATAACAGCTTAAACTTAAAAGAAGAAAGTGCAGAATTTGGTTTATTTAAAGAAAAAAAGAGCTATGTTTCATAAGGAAAGGCATGGAGACCCATTTTTTTCCCACTTTTAAATTGTTTGCTGACAGATCAAATACTATGGGAATAACCATGTCCTCATTTTTTTCTTCATCTTTGTAAGCTTTTAGCCTGGATTTAGTCTTGGTCCCCAGTAAGTATCAATTTCTACAGCGAGTGTAATGCTGTATCTGGCCTAAAAACTATTAAACATTTTAAGACAAATAAGCAGACCACAAAAATAGTGAGATAAGACCCTGAGTTAAGAAGCACAAATCTAGTTTAGGAAACCCCATTCTTTCTTCAGTATTTAAAATATTTCTCCTCCAAAGACCAATTGCCCCAGTAATGTAAATTTTCCATCATGGTTGGCACCCTATCCATAAACATCTCACTAAATGCAAAATGGAGTTTACATTTATGTGCATACTAGTGGAGGAGAAGTAAACTATTCTCATTTGCATTTAGCTATGCTGTTCAAATGTCGCCAACTGAAATTCAAAAAAGAATTTGTTTTCACCCAGCAAAGTACATCACTTTCCTCTTGGCAAGGAAGCTGGTGTTAACATTAGGTTTAGGTTTAACATTTACACCAGCGAATGTTTATGGATATTGTGGGAAACGTATTTTAAAATCTTGATTTCTTTTCAGCGCATTTACATACTGTGTGCTGATTAATAAATTAGGGACCAATCATGTGTAAATCAATGTAAATCACTAGTTTATGTACATAATACAAACGATGTAAACTTCATTTTTCATGCAGAGGCCAAGTTCAGCTAAACCCATAAATGTTAAAGGAAAAAAAAATCAAATAAAGTAAAACCAAAGCAAGTCACAGGTCAAAATGGGAAGAAGTAGGAACAGAATGCCCAAACGCAAGGTTGTCTCAGCCAAAGGAAATAGAGGACAGGGGCACCTACAGGTTTCCATGATGATGCAGTCACAGTTACGGGTTACCTTCTTGTTCCTTCAAGACGTAAGTGCAGATTCTCCCAGCTGTCACCATCATTTTCTCACGGGATCCTCCAGCAAGGGAGTAAAGAGTAAGAGAGTGTTTGAGGGCTCCTGGGCCTATTTCATCAGCTCTCAGGCATCTGGTTATTTCTCCCTCACCCCAAATCCAAGGAAGTCAGCCATACCTTGGTGAGCACAATACTACCCAGTTTCTGTTACCCACTCAATAAAAGCATTGGGAAAGCTTCTCTGTCATCTGAATTCTAATAAATTGTTAGGTAGAAGAAATAGGTGACATCCTTGAGAAATATCTTGGTGAGTCATCTTCGAAAAAATAACTGCCTTTGCTTTATCTAATACTCTTGTGTTCCAACACATCTATACTGAATTCTACAAATAAAGGACAGAATCACTTCATTTTGGAGTCTCTCTCTCAGGCATTATCTCTTACAGTCTTTCTGATGTGCCTGATGTGTTTAACAGAAATATATATATATATATATATATATATATATATATATATATATATCCCTTTCCTATAATCTGAACAATTGGTAGATTACAGATCCCTAAAAAAAAAAAAAAAATGACTTCAGGAACCACATGAATGTTCTACCAGAACTGTTCTTGAAAGAAATTTAGGTCACATTAACATGAGACTCAAAGTGCTCTCTGCCTCCTAAGATAAGTGATAACTTGAAAGTAGAGGTGTATTGGATTGGGAGTCAGGAAAATTGCTCTGTAAACCGAGGTCTAGTCATAAAAGAGCTGTATGACACTAGCAAGCCATTTAACTTTCCTGAATCTTGGTCTTCTCACCCTGAAAGTGAGGTATTTGAATGACATCTTTAGAATCCCTTTTGCCTCTAAACTTGGATCCTGAATAAGAATTTAATACTCAGTGCTGTGCTCACCTAACCGTTCGTTCTAAGCTGCTGTTTGTCATCTCCAGTTTGATCTCATAACCTTCATCCTAGCATCTCCATTTCAAAATCTAAAACTTTCTAGGGAACAGGGTCTCAGGACTGACTCTATAATCCTCTTCTGACCAAAACTTCTTAGTGATCTAGAGAGGTGATATATTCAGAATAAACTGAGGGCTTTGAAATAGCTAGGGCTGTTTCCTTGTTTATAATATTATAAAATCTAACTGTTGAACTATATCCTAATGACCTTTCATAGGAAGGAAAATAGCCAGATTGGGCATTATGCATGTAACAAATGAGGAAGTTGTGCATATGAAAGGAAACATCGGTTTTCTTTCATCCTGGGCCAAGCGCCTCATTATAGTAAACGTGTGTCCTTGGAAACTCTTGGCTTGTGCTGATGGCAGTAAGCATGTGGTCTGAGGCAAGTTCAATAGGCTGGTCTGTGAGAAACAGACAAGACAATACATCTTTTTTGGGAGAGAATTTCTCATGGGATGAGTTTCCTGAACTTGAGTTACAAGCTGTGAAATCAGGCAGGTGGATGGAGAGCAAACAGGCCTCGTTTTTTTAAAAAGTACAGGTCTGTGCTGTTTAAAGAAGATAAACTGAAAATAAGACCAAAATAAACACATTTTGAAAGGCCACGGTTGAAGACACAAAAAGCTGTCGTAAAAGCGGAAATCAAATGTGAAAGTCAAGCTCTCTGAGAAGAGGTTTTACAGGAAGGATGGTTTTTGAGGCAGTGAAGGAGGAATTATTTTCTTGTGCCATGTTGTGGGGTGGACTGAGCATAGCCTCACTTATCCCAAACTATCCTAGACGCTCAGCTTAGCATCTGTCCAAAGTGATCTTTTCATTTAATGCCTGAAAGAACTGAAGGAATTTGAGTGTCCCGGCACTGAAGAGCAGGATTTATTCATGATTTTCCAAGTGATGCACTAGCATCACTTGGTGTAGCTAAGGATGTATCGGGACTTAAGGTACTCATGAAGCTCTCTTGAAGTGGGAATAACCCCCATCCCCCACCCCTGCTCCCATCCCTTGGCCCACAGGACAACTCCCCATTTCCACAGTTATGTCACATTTACCTCTTTTGGGTGGTGCTCCTGAATCCACTCCTACAGCTATACTCTTCTTTGAATAAGCCCTCTCTATGTAAAGCCAGGCACAGTAAAAATCTGCTTCTTGCAAATGAAGAAAACATTTGGAACCACTAGCTTCAGGAACTGATCCCAGGATATCAGGAGTCTTTTATGAACCCACTTCCCTAAGTCTTGAGAATGTGAATGGTTTCTTCCTGGCAAGTTGTGGCCAAGTTCTGCTCCCTAAGTATTCACTGGGAGGGAGGAGGCTGAAGGGAGGAGGTTGCAGGGGGAGAGAAGCAGAGGATACCTCCAGCCTCTTCTCCTCACCCTGCTTCATCCTTTCCTTCTCTCTGCTCTACTGAAGGGTGTAAAAATCCTGCCCTTGGTTAGAATTCTCCTTATTAACAGTGTTATATACATATAAATATATATATATAAATATATTCCTTTTTTCAGCCCTGTAGACATGAACTGATCTTCCCTTGATGATACAAACACATGGCCATTTTTTGGTTTGGGTTTTTTGTTGCTCAAGGTATTTTATTTTTGTTTATTGGGTGGATTTTTTTCCCTGGATACTAGCTCTGTGAAGGAAAATAAAAAGCGCAGTGTGTGTTTAAAATAATCAAAATTAAAAAAAAGCTTTTTTTTTCTTTTCTTTTTAAATGTATTTAAATTCTGTTTCTCTCTTCTGTTACTTTACACGTATGAATGCTCTGCTCTTCTGTGAACTTAAAACAAAATGAAATAAACGTGAAAAGGAGATGTGTCTGCATTGGCCTGTGTCAGTGATCTTGGGGTTGGCTACACTGCTTCTTGAAGGTTTTTCATGAGCAAGTTAGGAAATGATAGTGAGCATCTAGTCAGGGAGGGGTAAACAAAATACTGAAAAATCACTTGGAGGCTTTCTAACATTTCTTCTACCCAGAAGTAAACACACTATTTACAATAATTGTCTTCAGCTCAGCAAAGAGATTCTCTGAATTCCCCCTTTTCCCTCTTCCTTAAGAGATTATAACAAATTACCACAGGGAAGCTTCATTAAAACATTAAAGAAGTTTGTGAGTGAGAATTTGACCGAGAACTTGGAATATGAAATCCAGCAACAACAAAACATTAGGGAGTACACCCTTTCTTTAAAGTATCCATTACAGGAGTCATTGTTAAGGTTTAGCTTTTTTTTTTCCAACTTTTTTTTATTGGTGCATGCATACTGATGGGATTTGTTGTTATATATTCGTACATGCTCACAATACATAATATAACAATATAATTTAAGGGTTAGTTTTAATGAGCTCCTATGCGATAGTGGCAGGAGGAATTAATTTACCTCCCTAAACCACCTATTATTTCTACTTGTAAAAAAACAGTTTGTTTTCTACTCTTGCTGTGAGCTACTATCTTCACATAATGTTTCTAGAATCTTCATAGAATCCCTATAGCATTAGACAGGACCGTTAGGAGATGGCAAGAGAAAACAAGAAACAAGCAATCCATGTTTGAAAGAGGTGAGGTTGGCTAATTGTATATCAGAAGAGACTGAAGAATCTGAGGTTTTACTCCTCCAAGTCAAAGCAAGTCTGAAACACCTCTAAGAGAATGGATCTCAATTTGGGATGATGGGGAGGAGGGAGGTGAGGAATCATACTCAGCTTCCATAAGGAGAAAAGCATCTCAAAAGCAAACTGTCCCCTCTGGTTCAAAGAGACAGATGAAGAGCCCAGTCTCCCCACTTTTGAATTTTATTAAAAAATTTGAAAATGCCTTTCTGTAACATGGTTACCCGACTCAAACTCAAGGTTAAAGTCACAATCATCAAACAAAACTTCCCTCACTTCAGACACCAGCTGCATTTCTGGATTAGATAACCCTGGTTTTTGACCAGCTGACTACAAACTCAAAAGTTTCTTACTACCCCTGCAGGTTCAGGAGTTTGCTAGAATGACACAGAACTAAGGAAAGTAGTATACTTAGAATTTTAATTCTAGTATAGCAAAAAACAAAACACATTAGAAGCAGCCAGTGGGAAAAACTCACAGGCAAGGTCAGGGAGAGTTACAAATGGGAAGTTTCCATTGTCTTCTCCCCAGGGAGTTAGGACACAAGCCCTCCTAGCACTCTAATGTGTGACATCAGTGTATTGTTAACTAGGAAAGTTGAGTTTTGTTGTTCAAGGCTCCTTTTGAAACCTTACAGAGGCATGACAGAATGAATCAGCCACATGCTTGAATATAATCTCTAACTCCTCTCCTTTGCCCAGAGGTTAGGAAGACATCATGAGATTCAAAGCCCCAACCTGCTAATCACTTGGGCCAACTTTCTAGTGCTGCCAGCCACCATGCTGAGTCATAAACTACCTAGAGGCACACCGCGAGTCTGCTCTTAAACATAAATTATCAGGTGTCCAACATGAATAACAGAGGAACAGCTATCTCTTGGAAAATTTCAGAGAATTAGAGTTAATTTGCTTGTGAACAAAAGCCAACCAAAATCTTTATGATGTATTTTTCATTACAAAAAAAAAAAATTGAAACCTCTTTCCAGATGGCCTGAGATTTTATTTCCTTTAAGTCACAGTAGATCCAGGATTAGAAAGTCAGCACATCCTTGGGCTTCCCTATCAATAGTGCTTCAAAATAAATTTTCTGTTACATCCCCATTTTCTACTCCCTTTACATCTCTCTCTATTAGTATGTCTGAAGCAGCTTGTGAAGACTGAAAATGAGGTGAGTCTTTGACTCTAATTTGTTATGGAAGGAACCTGTTCTTTTTCACCTTTGTGATTCTTTTGGAGCTAGCACAGGGCATACCACAGCCTTAGCCAACATTTGTCACAATAAAATTGAGTTGTGTTCAATTCCTCCAATGAATCTACTGGATGTGGAATTCTTATCTATCAATCACTCTGATTTGATCATAGTTATGGAGGATTTCTGAAGCCAAGCCTGTGAAACAAAAAGATGGATCCTTGCCTCACATAAAAAAAAAAAAAAAAAGATCTGAAACCTGTCACTCAAACATGAAAAACTTAACTTAGTTGCCTGGAAACCCAAGACTGGAGTATTAATGGTCATGGATAGGAAAAGACCTCTTCACTTTCCTTTTTGAATTCTTCTTTTCTACTTTCTACACTAGCTACTGGCCAACTGGCGTAACATGTTATCTGTGTCCTAGCCTTTGTCCAGGATTTCTTGTGAACCCTGGGAACTGTTTCTAAGGACACACATTGGAAGAGAACATCTAACTTAATCTGATTTTATAGATGTAGCTGTTCTCAACGAGGAGGCACTGCTGACTAGTCATTTGCTTTCAGAATAAAACTTCAGTTTTTATTGTACAAGACCATAAAATTTTGACCAACTGTGCCATCTTTACTTTGCATCATTCTACCTGCTTTTTCCCCTATCTAATTCCCCCATCCCCAGATCAAATAAGAAATCCACTAATTGTATAGTTCTTCATGTTCTGTCCCCTCCCCACCACCAAAAAAAAAAAAAAGTTCAAATTAGTGGTAGCAAACACAGGAGGCAGACCCTGATCAGAAACTCAAGAATGGAGAAAAATACTGCTCAGTTTAAGTTACGGCTCTGAGCAATTCCAGTTTGAGTCTTTAGAAGCTACCAGGCAATTATCACTAGAAAATCTTCTGTAACCACAAGTTCCATCCAGAAACTATGAACACTCCAAATCCCTAGCATATGAACAAACTTCCCAGTTCTTTCATTATATTATGACTTTTAGACAAGTAGCCCAAACTACACTGGAGAGTTTTCCTCCTTAATCTTAATATACAAACCCATAGCCTTTACTAGCAATCGGGGGATTGTAGAGTCTTCAGATAGCATTAATATTTGAGCAAATCCTCAAAGGAAAGCTAAGCAAACAAAAGTAAAATTCTCAGAATCAGGAGGATTCACCAGGGAAAATGACTGAGAACTTTTTCTAGATGGAGATGTTTCCTAAGTGCAAGATAGTTGCATTGTACACTTAACAAAGCTCCTTATAAATATGCTTCCCAGGTCTGGTCAGCTTCTCCCCATTAAGCCCTTCCCCAGCCCTAGCTAGTCAACTGTCCTGAACCTATTAGCCAGGACAAGTGAGTCATGTAGCTCAGCCAAGAAACACATGAGTCAAGAAAAGGCATGGGTCATATCCATTAAATATACAGGGATCTGCCAAGATGCCAAGTCCCTTCTGTCTACCCTGCAGTTTCACCATGCACGCATGTTCTAGATTTGGAGAATCTGTCTCAGAGTATAACTAGTGATACAAACAAGAAAAACACAAGACTCTTATATGCATCTATTAATACTTTGTGTTACGAGTTCCATCTTCCAAGTGAGAACCCACGTCTAAGTCAGTGTTCTCGTTCTGGAAGAAGATTTCTTATTCCTAAATAGCAACATCTTGGTACTTTTCTCTTTTTAATTCCAATTTGTGGTAGAATAATAGTACTATCAGGAAAACAATAGATTTGCTTATGAACTAGTTGGACTCTCAGGTATCCTAATTGCCCACTTCTTGTCTCACATCCTAAATAATTGTGAAGGAAAAAAAAGATTAAAAAAAAATAAGAGTTAGTCTTCAAGTATGGTTAGGGTTAATAGTGTAGGCCTACAGTTCCTGGGCTGCTGTGCACAGAAATTAGATCTACTTCCACGGTTTGAAGCACCATACATAGGCAATAGGCTCCTCATCTTCCCAAAGACCTTTTGAAAATAAGCAGAGGTTAAAACAAAAATTCCTGGTGGTTGCAATTAGTTTTCATTACCATTTTAAATGGTTATTTTTAATGGCACATTTAACTAAAGCTAACTTATCCATGAGAAGAGAATGTGGCCATTAAGATCAGCATCTGTTGAACAAACTGAGGCTCTACACTCGGTGATGCATGATTCCAACACCAAGAATACTGCATGCAAACAGCAGACTCATTAGCATTAATTGCTGCATTTAGTCCCACTTAAAACCTCCTGTATCTGGAACAGTTTCTGAATACATTATCCTTTTTGCAAAAAAATACACCCTAAAATATTATCATGTATTTAACAATAGAACTAATTTATGGTGTGCTTGTATGTACAGTGATGAGGACTAAAGAAAGTATTGCTGATAACCCTATACTGACAATTTGACGATGGAAAAGCACCACTTGTTGGCAAGGTGTGAAATTCAGCTTAAAAAGGGAGGGTTGACCAGAAAAGTGTGAGGTAGATGAGGATGTAAGGTCAGATATAAGGTCGCTATGTGGTAGTGAACAAGATGATCTACCTGAGCAGTGAAAAGACTCTGGAGAGGTGTGACTATGGAGCTGCAAATCTCTGAGCTGGTGTCAAATCCCCAGGAAGAAAAGCCTAGTGCTGGGCACCATGCTGAGCCACCTGCTTCCTCAGGGCAAGCTCCAGGCCTCTTGTCTTCTGGGCTCACACAGACATTTAACAAAGATCGGTAAGTCAGTCCTTTCATGATGCAAATAAAATACTTTAATAACACTTTCACCGTGCTGCCCTTTGCTCAAACAGATTTGCCTGGAGCCAGGTCTAGGTAGAATTGGGATCAGTAAAACATTGGAGCTAAGAACACCCTCTATGAATGGAAAAGGCAACTACTAGAAGCCCTCTGCCATATGCAATATCCTAATCTCTCCTTTTCCATTTATTTTATTTTATATTTTGCAGATATGGGGATTGAACTCAGAGGTGTTCTACCACTGAATTACACACCCAGCCTTTTTAAATTGTACTTTGAGGCAGGATCTTGCTAAA